GTTTTATTTCCAGGGAGTGGTTTCTTCACCATGGTGCAAACATGGATTTTTGTTTTTCCTTTCAAAAAATATCCTTTGACTTTTAAGGCATGCATCTTAGTATTTCCATTGGCAGAGAGCTAAAGTGTGACAGCATCAGAGGATAAAATAGGACATTTTTGCACTGTTTTGAATTAAGGAGGCTGTGGTACTTGTTAAAAATGGAGGGAGGGGCACCCAAAAGCATGTTTCTAAAGTGCCTAACATTCACTTCGTGAGATCTCTCCCATGGTCTAGGAACTCTGAGAACTAATGTGTCCAAAAGAAAGATGATTTTAGCTTGCAAAGGGCTATTTAATTTACTAAATTCAGTCTGTGACCAATCTCTCCTGAGAAGAATCCAGAACAGTGGGCCAAATCTTGTAGGCAATACCCAGTAGTTCATGGGACTGTGAATTCAGTTGGGAAAGTTGCATTTGGAAATGGTTCATATCAAATCTAGAAATGAACAGTTTGGAAGTGTTGCATTTATGTAGACTGAACAATAGCCTGGATATTAAGAGGCTTGCATTCTAGTGCCACCTCTGTCCCTAGTGAGCCCAGTGACAACAAGCAAGTCATCAGTTTCCTTACCTGTAAAATTAGACACAGCATTTTCCAAACATTATTTTTCTTTTAGAGGGGCCATTTTTTCCCTAAACAAAAGCTTATACCTAAGTCTAATATGTAAAACAGCTAAAGACAGCACTCTTCCCTTGGAAACTGCAAGAAGCAGTCAGGGCAGTGGCCAGCAATACTTGGTCCTCTCCTCTCACAACCATCATCTCTTACCACCAAAAGTGCCAAATGAGGTCAACATGAACATTTTGGATAGATGGCAGCTGAGGTCTCCTGAGTTCTAATTTTTTATGACTAAACATAGGGAAACCTGTCTTGCTCAATGGGACACCACTTGAAGCAGCCAGTTATTAGAGAGGGATTAGCATCTAAAACTTTATGTGTAAAAAAATAGCCTGTGTTATTGCAACGTAACCTCTGATGTTACGAGAGGGTTCACAGGACAATTTGAAAATTAGCTTTAAGCTCAGAATAAAATTTGAAAGCTCTATCTTCTTATTTCCATTTTGATGCACCCCATTTTTGTAAGCACACAGCAGTTTCTAGTCTGCAACGCACTTTGTCATGCGTTTTCTCATGTGTGAGTATCTGCACAACCTCACTAATTCACTGTCCTGACAGATGGTGATTTGAGAGGAGCCCACAATATCTTTCATAGGTTTCTTTCTCATAAAGAAAGGGGAAGAAGGGTAGAGCCTGAAGAGACAAGTCATTCTGTTTTCCAGTGACAACCTTGAACCTCTAGACAAGCGGTCCTAACAAAACTCTCTCTTCACCTGGTCAGAAAAAGCTTAGTTCCACGTATAGAAGGATTTGCACATTGACAGATTGTCCCCTTTGTGGCCTAGCTTCAGGCATCCATCACTCATCACTCGTTTAGGTAAGACAATTAAATGATCTAAACCTCATCCTCTTGTTTCCTCTCTTTTCAGTGGAAGCCTCTGAGGAGACAGGGAGAGGGACTGATTGGGAAGGAAGTGGTTTCTGGACAGAGATAGAGAAAGGATCAGCTTGATAAGTCGTTAAGAAGTTTATCCAAACTGTTCAGAATTTTGAAGGAAACTGTGGAAACATTCAGCAGCGATGCACTTACTCTCGGTATCCTCCCCCAAAACAAAGTGCAGTGGTAATTTTAAAAAGATAGGAATAGATTTAAAAATGGGAGAAGAGCTAACAATGAAATATAAATGAGAAATGCAAATTTGAGGGATATATATTGTTTAAAAAACCCATAACATGTGAAGCTGGAGTGAGGTATTTTATATTTATTACTAGATACAGAAATGTGTTTTCCTACCACTCTATTTCCTAAAAAGGAAGTAAATTCAGCCTCATGACAACTGCTCCTATTCATGAATGACAGTTACTTCATATTTCGATGCCTAACTTTTTTTTTAGTAGCTAAATTATATTTTTAGTGTTTCTTTTTGTTCTGCTCCTTTGACCTATCCTGGAAAATCTGAAGAACATTTATTTCTTTTTCTTTTCA